GAACCGGGCGCCCATTCTGATCTCCGCCAGAAAGCTGTAAATTCTTCTAACTGTACTGCTTCACGGCTGTAAAGCTAACACGTCGATATAATGTATCCATCTCAGACACGTAAACATCTGTTAAAGCATTCGCGCAGCCCATTGTGACAGTTGCCAAAACAGCAAGTGTCTGCAAAAGCAAATTTTGCCTGCATGGCACACACACGCACACACACTGAAAGTTACACCAGCCATGCTGTAAAGCAGGTAACTGGGACTGCTATGGGGAAAAAAACACTTTGTGACATGTAGAAGCAAGCTGGAACACATGGAACAAAATGACTTATAAAGAGATTTTAGAGCACCTGTATGCTACTGGTGAAAAATAAAAAATAAAATAAGCTCTGTTGCAATATCCCAAAAAATATAACATACATTTACATTGATAAAATATACATTATCATACTAGCATTATGATTCATGGCTTCCCATTGACCTGATTTAGAAACTTGGAATCGCATGTTTGTACTTGAGCATATCTTCAAAATTCTGTTCTATAGGCCTTTACCTAATATGCATGCCAAGGGAGAGGCTGGGATTAGTTTTAAGCACCCTTATTAGTAGCACACTATACTTCTTCCTGTCAACATACCAGTGGTCTGTTTTGGTTGTTTGTCTCAACTGGCTCCGGAGAAAAGTCCTTCTATAGCTGCGTTTCTGTAATCAATGCTAATTGCAAACAGATTCAGTCAGCTGAGAGGCATATACATGACGGGGAAAGAACTTTAGCCAAATAGCTGCAATTATAGTTATAATGACAGCTGGACTAAAATAAACAGAACATCAGGCTGCCTTTGAGCATACACAGGGCAGACAGGACATGTGTAGGCTTTGATTGATCCTTTTCTCTACAGCTACGCAATATCGCAACAGCGTAAGGACAACACAAGGCCCAGCTTTTAGGATTGAGATTTAAACGAGAGAGGAAATATTTACATCAATCATTCGGTGGGTATATGCGATTAGAGGATTAAAATAATTATTACAACTACGAACATAGTTAGGGATAATCTTTTATGTTCAATCACACCCAACGTGCTTTGACATGCTGACTTTGTGGCAGGTGTAAATTTCTTCCGTACAGACTCAGACTTGTCCAAAGAGAACTCATCACTGCAACTGCTGGCGGAGCCATCGGGATTAATATTACCGCAGAAGTACACACTTCCATTCGCAGTATGCACACAAACACACAATTCATGTAGAGACAGCGTCCCAACAGCTGCTCCCCCACATATACCCAACCCATGTTTCTAAAACAGGTTAATAAACTGTTATCCTCCGGGACGTGTGAGAAATCTAGTGGCATGTCGTCCTGTGAAAACAGTTTTTTCAACACACAAGAGTGACATGTACTTTTTCCTATAACCAGATACGTACTGGAGAAGACACTCTTGAAAATTTAGCTTCAGTCCACTGAAATGTAACTCTTGGAATGGCTGAAAATAACATCATTGTCATACTTCTTTTGTGTCCCAACTTGTTCATGAAAGGACATATCAGTATGTTGTCATTGGCTGTTTTAACATACCTGCATCAATAATGGTCATACTCACCTGCTCTCACACTCAGAGGGTATAACACTAGGCAGCTTTTACATGGATAAACCACACAGAAACAACACAAGTCTTGCTCTGCAAGGAAGGAAACTATGACGCATGTATAATTTGATACATAACAGAGAGAGAAGGGGATCCACACAAAAAATGAATTGATGCTTGATGTAACATGAAGGAGTATTATCCATTATAGCTGTTCTTTAGCCTTCTCTGTTCTCATGACTCGCAGTCACTATTTCATGGATTGAATGGGGCTTTGTCTCATATTCCACCAAAGAGTGGCACAGTTTTCAGATATTGAAGAGAGAGAACATGGCTTGGCTTTTTCCCTCATTTTGGCTGGAGGTCCTCTTCAGAACAATGTATTAAATTATTTTTCATTCTGTTGTTTGTGTCAGTAAACTTATGCATGTCTGAGCATATCTGAGTACTACGGTTAAATAGGTACACCTTCCATCCAAAGTCTGTTGTTTCCATTTGTTACTAGGTGGCGTCCTTAGGTTTGTTATTATTTCTATACACTGGGAGTCAGGTGTAATGATGCTAGCAGATAATTTGCCATTGTATATATTCATACGAATAATTGCACTTCCTTTGTTTTGAACTGACTTATCAAGCAAACTAACTAAAATGTATTTTCTTGACAAAAAAAACATGTTTGTGCATCAAAATAAAGATTTTCAACAAGACAAAGTTATCAGATAAAGAATCCTTTTTTTAAACTTAAAAACAAAAAGTCTTGCTTCCATCTAAGAACTGAGACCTGTCGAAGCTGGTTATGCACATCAGAATGTCTAATGGTGTAATTAAATCACAGCCCTTTCAACTGTAATCTAATTGATGTAACTATCTTAAGATTCACAGCCTCACTTTTTTTTCTGGGTAAATTTAAACGCCTCCAGGTAACAGCTTGTTTTTCACTCCCCAAGGTCTGATGGACTCTAACATGTGGTCTGATGTCTGACCGCCTCTATCAAATCAAGCTAAAACATGTTTAAGCACTTGCACTTTCACATGAGTTTAAATCAAATAAAACAATTGGAGAAATTAGAGAAAGCACTGTCACACTGCTTCAAGATGCACAGCATATTATCCCATTGTGTTTTTGTACCAAAAATCAAAGAGTAATAGCAAACAATGAAGGACTGTATGCATGCATGTACTAAGCATTTTTCTGCAAAGTATTACTCCCTGCCTCCATATGTTAGCTTGTTTGTGCAAACCCAGATATATAGGCAAAATGGAAAATCCTTTTTAAAAGGTAATGCGTACATAAAAATAGAGGAGCAGAGTGAAAAAAGGTCAGATGTAAAGATAGGGGCCAGGTTTAGGTTTGTTCCACACAGCTGCTGTTAGCTGTTCATCTAGACTGCACAGGAACTATTTTGAGGCTTTAAACTGAAGTTTAATGTAAATATCTTCAAGGATTAATGAGTGAAATGGGTTCTCGGGTTACTTTCTAGAGAAACTCACAGCCAGCAGACAACGCCAGCCAAGCAGAGTTTACGCTTAGCTTAAAAAATGTCTGATTCGTTCTGAAAACAGATTATGTGGCCAATGCCGAGCTGTCCGCACTCATCACCTTCTGCTAAAACAAACAACTAAAAGCACAAAAAGCAAAGCATGAAACAAATGGATGGAAAAAACTATACTGGAACAGGACTTCAGAAGATAGATTCACAACAACGTGAATTAAAAAGCATTTCAACAGCCACATTCAAAGTAGACAAACTATTCAGACATGTTGAGCAGAAGAACAAAAGGCATACTAAGGTGGGAAAAAGCTGGACGGATATTGAAGTACACTGAAGTGTGCTCTGATACACTTCAATGTACTTCAGACTGAGAGGAGATGGCAAATCACAGGACGCTCTTAAGGATGGAGAAGGAAAAGTCTGAAAAGAGAATGGAGTGAAACAGATGTTTTCAGCAAATCATGTGTGTGTGTTGTACAGAAAGGGAGCACAGGTACGCATTTGTCTGACCAAAGTCATGTTATATTGATATTTGACGATATCTGACATTCACGTGTGCCGTCAGTCAGATTTCTAAAGTCTGGCAGTTCTATCGATCGGCCTGTAAATCTTTATGATCTAGCATCACCGCCAATTTTCAGAAGCTTTACAAATGTTGCCGACCTCAGCTGTCTTCATTAAGAGCCACAGTTTCCCTCTTTCTTTGATATGTGGCCTGCTATTTTTATAGATCTTGTCAATGCTGTAATTTACAAAAATAGGGTTTTACTTCTGTAAATACCTGACTTACAGGTCAATTGGACTGTAGGTCCCAAGAGTGCAGTTTGATTTGATAAGAAATTAGTACATTACGGGTTGAGAAATCAAGTTTACAAAGTTGATCACATTTTCATGCCATAACAGGAGGATCTTCTTTCAAGCTTGTATCTAAAAAAGAATGATTAAAAAAACACTATTTTCTCATATTATTTACATTTAAACAATGTTATTACTTCAAGTATTTAACATCTTGTCAGGTCAAAACTATTGCAAACTGCATGTTTGACTTTCTCACTTGAGGAATACACACCAGATTAACACATTTGAAGCTTTAAAGGCCATGTGGGAGACATGAGTAAAGTCTTACTCATGTTTAGATCAAAATAGAAAACCAACTAAAACCTTTTACATTAAATATACAACTGACATTAATTATGATGATCTGCTAACCTGGTAAACACAGCTCACTGTAATCCTATCAGAGTACAGAGCAAAGCCAGAGAAACAGGGCACAAAATGATGAGGTATGTCACAGTGTTCAGTGTCATTTCATACAAGGCGAAAGAAAAGGGAGTGAAAGTGATAAAAGAGTATACGAAAATGACGCAATGCTCTTCAGCTGACTGAATCTGACCCCTTCACAGAAAACTGATATACTTTAGAGACACAGAGAGAGTGATGACTCCCTGTGCTCCCCCACCTCCCTTTAGCTCTTCTCTCCTCTCCCTCTCTTTCTCTCTGCTGTGAGTGAGGTGATGAATGTGTGTGTCTGTTCAGTTCCTAATAATAGGATGGTGCATGGTTGGAGGTGTCCAAGCCAGGGAGAGACGAGATCTCTCACTCTCTCGCTTACACACTCATAACACAAACAGAACTGTAGCAGACTGCCAGAGAGTCCAGATGCCGCAGAGGTGGGGTAAAGGTGGGGGTGGGCTAAAATAACTAGAGGAAAGGGGCTAGAGGTCGAAGACAAAGCCAACAAAAGAGTTTCAAACAGCATGCTGATGGATTTACTACCCATACGATACAGCCAACAACCAACAGATCTCCTTTGCGTGGTGGGGTGAAATGCTTGGCTTCCACAAAGGGGGTGCAAAGACAAACACTGCACGGCAGTCCGACAATGAGCTCATCCTTACACACAATTTCTAGAGTTCACTTGTCCTACCTCTTGAGTTGGTCGCCAAGTCAGCCACCTTCTGGAAAGCATCCAGGAAGGCAGCAACAGCAGCCACTGTCATCCTAGGACAAAAGAAGAAGATACAGGTTTATAAGAGAAAAAAATCCTTTATTTACCAAATCAAAAGGACCCAAGTCCCACTTGCATCTCCACCAATTTGAACATTTTAGTACGAGCGCATTATAAATTAGTGAAATTACACAATCAGTGAAAAGGGGGCTACATTTGATCCTTTGTAAGACGTGGTGGAGGTTGGGGAAAACATAGCTCTCTATTTTCTAGTTACAGATATAAAATTGCTGATTGACTTTGGATGCCTAACAGGGCAGTTATTGTAGACAAACGGCTGTTTACTGACAGGCCACATGAGTAGCTCACTAGTGAACACTGGCCTGCTTTGGTTAGAGTGAAACTCTGTGATTACAGGTATGATAATCAAAGATTCTAGAGCATGTGTGTGTGATATCTGAACCTACTTCCTGTCCATAAGGAAGACCAGACTACCTTTCAGTCAAACAGGCTACACATACAAAAACACAACTGCTTAAAAATGTTTCCACCCACAAACACTTTTTAGTCGAATTCTGAGAACCTTAATTCGTCCTTTAAAAAAAACAACCCTGGAATTTCCATCGGCATTCCAGTCAGGTACCCATCTCAAACTATTATGTTTGTACAATAGGAAAGAAAATGTTATCACAGAACAGCCTTCAACAAGGTTGGAAGAAAAATACAAGATTGGGTGATGAAACAACCCACATTCAAAGCTTCAACATCATATTCTTCTTCACTGGCTGGCAAAACCGTAGCCCCCCCCCCAAAAAAAAGAAGAAAAAAGAAATCACTCAGAAAACTTTTCACCGTATCGGTGAACAAGAGCTGTGTTGTTGCAGAGCTGGCCAGAAGATCCATGGGTGTGTCCTGCAAATGGAAAAAGAAACATACGCAGGCAGACACAGATTCCTTTCTATTTAAAGCTCTATGGGGGCACCATAACAACCTCCAACTGATATCCACCTCTGCTAATTTACTACATGCATTCATTGCTCTATGGATCATATTTACTTACACCTAAATCACACCCATTCATAATCATTATTCAAAGTGTGGTGAGTGGTGTGAAGGCTGCTTTTAGTAAGCTGAAGGACTGAACTACAAAGAAGGACAGGCAACAACTGGATGCCATAGTAATAACCTTTAATCTATTTAAGGCTTTTTCAAGATAGATGCCAAATGGCTTCAACCATTCACCATACTCTTAGATTTATTTGACTCTGGCTCCAAAACTATTCCTCAGCGCACAAACACACACACACACACGTGTATACACGCAGAAAAACTGGCTTTTGGTTTCAGCTCGGACAGTTAGCCAAAATGCCTCAAGATTTCTGTGGCTTAAATAATACATTTTCAATCTGCCATAAGGGTTCAGCCTGGTGCAATACTCCTTCAATGACCCGACAAACTCTGGACTTAGAATCTGCACACGCCTCACCCCCCAGGTCAAGACAAACAACTTTTAAATTTCCATTCCACAGGGCCTTGGCCGGGGCAACCCAAACACCCTACAGAGAATGCTATAGTACCGCACAGTGCTCTTTACGACAATGATACATTCAATAGTGCTGCCCTCATCTATTTTCAGTTCAGCAGGAGCTGGAATGTGACTGGAGTAAGTGGGAATCGTAGAAAGAGGCTGTGCTGTCCCACACATTGAATGGATACATGTCTCTGTCCATGGGTACTTATTCATATCATATAGAGAAGCATAACTAATCGATATGAAAGTGAGAGCAGAAGAGATGTACATATCCCACCTATATATAGATTTGAAATAAACATTTGCATATATCTATATATGTCACAGGCTGGGTATGGAAAAACTCTTGGAAAGTTTTGAGCTCACTCATTAGAATTACGTTAGGCTATATATTTGGCTGTGCTTTCATTATAAAAAGCTCAGCACATGTGTGTGTTCACTCAGTAAAAAAAAAAAAACCTTGCTCTGCTCCAACTCTCTAATCGGTTGATGTTCCCGTTGCTTTTTGCAAGACTGGAGCAGAGGGGCTAAATTACAGAGTAGACTGCTTTTGGACGTCATACACACAGACATATGCTGATACCACTACTGACTGGTAACTTATCCAGACCAAGAAGGGAAGGTGGGTGTGTTTGCATTTTATACCATATGTATATGCAATTCCATGTCCAGTGCATAATAGCTTACGGAGCTTGGAGTTAGAAGAGGCTGTGATACCATCAAAATGACAGTTTTAGCATTTGCAGTGGCTAGACAGGCTTGAAAGCAGATATAGAAACAAATTAAAATATCATACTTTTAGGTCACCCCCCACAAGAGAGGGCACTCTAGCCCTAACCCTAACCCATGGGCATTGTTACAGGCAACCATACTCCACAACCACTGCCACTAGCTCAGTGTTGATCTGAAAAAAGAACAGTCAAAATAAACCAACCATCTATCATAACTGGCATTCAATAAGTCTTGGAAAAGTGGAATCTTCCCTGGAGGCACTAGTCAATACCCAGTGGAAAGAGAGTGGAAAGAGGCTAACTCAAAGTGCAGGACGGTAAGGATACAATAACAACACAGGACAAATTCTCCAGACTCTATCATGAGCGCAGCCTGCACTTTGCTCTGCAGTCACTGAGGCACGCAGCTGTCACACATGTACTGAACGAGATATTCTCCTGTGGAGATGCACTCTCACATAAATGTCTCCAGAGTAGCAAGACCTTAAATAAAACATAAAATCAATTTGACAAAAAAAATTGGTACTGTAAAGTTTTGTTTAAGTCTGTTGGCAATAGCACTGAGGTTCCCTGATGGCTGTTTCGGGCTGATATCCACACCACATGGACTGGACAGCGTTTCCAACTGCCAGCTGAAGCAGAGACTCCAAGCACTAACCCATCCTCAATGCTCACTCAGGATTTTACTTTTTTAATTTCTTATTAAATAATGTAAAAGTGCATTTCACGAGTCACGTGAAATTGTAGATTTGTTCTTCGACCAATCTGCTGCTGTTCAGACTCAGAAATTCAGGCAGTCATTAGCAGCAAGGTAACAAATACTCCCCAGCGTTCTGGCAAGGCAGGGTCACATATTTAACCCCTGAATAATGAAGACACTCAAATAACATATCAACAATAATCAGCTTTAATGGTAGGAAAAACAGAAGAATGGGACAGAGCAGCCCCATGGCCGGTATTGTTATCCAGTATCACTGAACCTTTATCCAGCTGTCAGTAACAGTCTTCCTGTAGACACGTGGACACTTAAATAGCTAGGGAAATGCCATCCATTGTTAATCAAAGAATAATCTAGACCATGGGATGCCTGTATTTGCAGTACTTGCTGAACAAAGAACCTTTATTCCAGCTGTCATAAGTTGTTTGTCTTCTGACACGTGGCCACTTAAAAGCAACTAAGAGAGGTGGCTGGGATTGGCATCTATTGTTTGAAATATTTTGGCAGCAACTGTGTAAATTTACAAAATCCCAAAGACAGAAGAAATCAGGTTTAAAGAGAACTAAACGGGGTGGACAGACATGTACTGACCCCTGGATAGTACTGTTGAAAGACTGGGCTTTTATATGACCGTCATTTCTCGTTAACACAAAGCAATGTAGACATCATTCAAAGAAGGAGAATTACTCTCAATATCAAATGCAAAAGTTCTTATAAAGGTATTAAATGTTCTCAAAAAAGTTTTAAATTAAACTTAATTATCAACTGTTGTAATCAAACTATTATGCAAAAATAACACTTGGATGTCTTCGGCCATGAATTTTAGTGGCATTTAGAAATCTATTAACAATACAAACGCTGTAATGTTTATTCACTTTTTTTTATTTATTCACAGTGTTGACCTATATTTCTGAAAATAAAGAGTAGAAAATCCAAATTGGCTGAAGATAGACTCAGAGTAAAATAGCTGGTAATGGTTTTCAAGTCAAGCACATCCCTTAAAACAACACAGGACTACTCCTGTAACACTGAAATACACACAACAATTCATATATGCGGTGGCCATGCGCTCACCTGAGCTGGGACTGCAGTTTTCCTGCCTTGGTGATAAAGTCCTCCCAAATAGGGCAGCTGCTCTGTGGGAGGAAAGGTTAAACATTACTGACACCATCTCATCATCTATAAAGATATATTCTGATTCCCTCACCTGCATGGCTCAACCTACAATTCTCTGTATTTAATCTATAGGTGGAAATTTTACATGTGCACAGAGTGAGATGTATTTTTTTTTAAAAGTACTTCTGATTGTTTATATATTTTCCTAAATGTAGTTGTAAAAATTTGTTATTCCATTTTCAATTAAAATTAGAAATTACCGTCATGTCCTGCATGTGTAGGCTTGCAAAATGGGTCACGGGCCTCCTTTGGAAAGATTCCAGCGTGATGAATGCACTAATGCTACGATATAATGAGCACGGCTCCCAGTGGGACTCTTAATTTTGACTAATTCAAGCCCTGGACTGAAAATAGTTGAAGAGCTCTCGACTGAAACAATTCCAAAGAACAAGTGGCACGATGCATGTAAGAGGAGGCTCATGGGCTCGTTTAAAAAAAAAGAAAGAAAAAGGAAAAAAAAGAGTTGATTTCTTTATCACCGATGTGGCACGAATGTCAGAAGGCTAAGGAATCTGAAGTTGTCCTGTCAAACATAACACCCAACAAACAACTCGCATCCCCACAGTACCTGTTTCTCTCTCCCTTTCTTCAATTTTTCCACTCTCCCTTACATCACCATCACTTCTTTCAGACTCTTAACAGTTCCCTAATCCGATTGTCTTTGCAGTCAGATGTACAGCTCTCTGTCCTAAGAGTACAATGAGGGACGACCTTTGAGCTGCCACATTTTGTCCCACCTCTTGTTGACAGATTTGGCCTGCACACAGTTCAGGTTATCACCTATCAGCACATGTAACAGCTGGCATGAGATTCAAATTAACCCTTTTTAGATTGCCAAATTCCCTTCTGTGCAAATTCCCTTCTATGCATAAGGCATCTGAGGTTTGTAGAGTTTTTTTTTTTGACCAACTAAACTGTTTTCATATAAGGTAAAAGTAACAGTCTGGACTTTATTCAAGACCTGGAAGAGACTTTTAGGAGTGCTCGAGCTGATGATCTTTGAATATGCAGTTTTCTTCTTTGCAAAATGGCTCCAAGAGACCTCCCTGTCTTGTCTACAACCCTCTTATGATCTGGAGTGAACCCATCTGACTCTCCCACTGCATTGTGTGTTGGTGGCTCTCTGAGTGCAGCAAGACAAACCCTTCTCATCTTGACAGGGAAGCCACCATCTGCAGTCAATCACGATCACAAACAGGATGTAAGAGATCTTTGAAGGGACTTCTTAACAATATGAAATAGGCACTATGAGTATACCATAAATGATCAGATAGAAAGTAGTACACACAGTAGTATTTGTCTACTTTCACAGACATTTTGTGGCAGTATTACCTAACAGTTACAGTAAGGGGACAGGAGACCTTGGAGTAAAGTGAGCAATGGCATACTGAGAGGTGCTGAATGCCTCAGCAGTATTCATAACAAACTTACTGACTCCTGCAGACCCAATGGCTGGACATTTGACCTGCACATGTCAAAGCCTTCATGGTTTGTGGGCAGTTTTCTGACCTGACAGCTACGTGCTCTGCATTCCCTCAGACATGCACAACAGCTGGGGGATCTGCTAATTGTCTCATTAGCCAAGGTCTGTCAAAAATGTAATCAAAACAAGATGCCCTACTTTGGTACTTTTTGTATGTGACGGTTCTCCGACCACTCCGCATAATGCATTCACATATGAACATAGCATGCACGAATTTGCCATACTTCAATATAAGCACATGGAAACATTATACTTCACATGAAAAACATTAGGTAGATTTTTTGCATTTTTCTCATCCAAAAAAACAAAAGGTAATGTGGATTTTAGGTGAGCTCCAAAGCCTGGCACTTACGTTTAGTTCGTTTAGCTAACTGTGAACCATCTTCTTTATCTGAACACACACTACACGGCGTTTTCGAGGTTAACTAGCAAGTTTGCGGTAGTTTGTTTTGGAGGTCCCTACAACTTAACATGAGTTGAGTTAACAAGTCCATTCGACTTACCTTCATGTCTCCGATAACTGTTTGAAAGAGTCCTCCAAGCGCGCTGCATTCCTTCTCAATAACAGCCTCCATTTTCAGGACCAACTCCTGTGGTCAGTCCCGACTCGGTGAGCCGTTTTTAGTTCGCCAACTCCGCTCTCCAGGAAAACTACAACGTCCAAAAGTATGAGCTGAGGCGATCTAACTAAGTAGTTCTATCTTACCTACCGTTCTGAAAAAGATTCAAACTAAAATGTTTTCAGTCAGGAAAGTAAGGAAACAGCTCGGTTTTGCTGTGGTTCACCGTGACTGCTTGAAATCAGCAGAAGCCGTCGGGACTAAAAGAGATATTTAAATCCCCCTCTTCTTTCCACGCCGCCCCGCGCATAACCATGACTACACCGGGAAGGTCATCTTTACAACAGTCTAACCCAAAACGAGTAGCTCCATGTGTGGTGTGGTAGTGTTATTCCGTATCTTGACAGGTAGACAAAAAAAACCCTCACCTAGCGCTCCCCTTCACTACCTCCCCAGCGTTGAAGGAGAGCGAAAATAAGCACACACTCACACGTGTCAAGCTGCAAAGAAAGATGGAAACTATTTCCGGTCAAAAGAATATATCAAAATAAGAACACCATCTGCATTACAGGCACAACTCGGAGATAATTGTATGTAAATAATCGGCTTCTATACGCATGAATCTTAGTGTAAGTGTCTTAAATTAAGGATGGATGTTTTTATTAATTAAAGAAATCGAATTACACTTTTTAAAAGAGAAAATCTCATACATTACAGTCATCTTGTTAAAATTTATTTTTTATAGTGAAATCAAAGGGATGCTTCCGGGAATACAGGTGAGTTCACGAGCGCCAAGATTTAATGATGTCGAATGAGATATTTTCTGCTTGTAGTGTGGAGCCTGCAGACTTTTTGTTGGGTCAAGGAAATAACTTTCAAAAAGAAAGTAATTATGGTATAAAGACTGGCCAATAAACTATTAGATATATGCCGCAGTATGAAAACGATAATTGATCCCAGGAGAATATCGATTCAATTATTTTCATTATAGTTGTGCCAAAAATGTTGAATGGAAAGTGAGCGTCTGTAACGTCATATTGCCATCTTTGCAAATAAAAAAAGCTGGATTAATGGTCATATTTAAGGCACAAAACTAAAAACCATGGGTGCGCAGGCTAACTATTGATAAATGGGGACATCTAGTGGCGAAAGGAATAATTACAACGCGAAATCACTGCAAAGTTCAAATTTTTGGGGGCAGTCATTTTGAGTAAATTATATGTATAGTCTTTTCATGATGTCCGCTGGAATCATTTTGTTAAGTATAACTAAAAGATGGAATTAAAAAAAAACTCATTTGAATGAAATGTTCTTAATTCAAAAAGTGCACTTTTATAACTGAATTTACTGTTCATCAGATGATGGCAAAAAAATGTATGTGCAGCTGAACTATAATTTTTAGCTTTTGCGTGACACAAGTAGTTAGAGGGAATACAGTGTGACAGTATAACTATAATTCTTTGATGAAATCTTCACCATGATCTACAATATTCATCATTCCTAAAATGACTATTTCATGCTCAAAATTCATATCCCCTACAGTCTGTAAAGATTTCCCTATATTTGAGTGTGTGTTTGCAGCTTGAACTGACTGAAACATCAGCAGTTTTAGCTGCTACACACTAACTCCCAGTTAGAAAGCATGTGGACACAAAGCATTGGGACACAACTTCAGCAGCCAAATGCAGTTTCTTGGCAGTGGCTATGTTGAAATAGCTTTGACAATGAATGTTAACAAAGTATTTGGGAATGTTTCAAAAAGCAAAATGCATCAGGAGTATTTGAAAAGCCTGTTATCAAACTAAGAATAGTTTCTCAGGATGAAGGGACTTGGTGCTGAAAACCCATTCATTTCAGTTTAAGGTTTACTTTGGACCATGATCCATGGTCCATCTGTACTCTACGGACCAGGTAATGCCACTCCTAGAAAAAAGGTGTGGCAAAAAGATCGTAACATATAATAAGATTTATGTCCAGTATAATCAAAAGGACTTTGTCCGATTATTATTTTCTGGATGCTAAATCATTTAGTGTGGATTTAGGTTCAGGCTACAGTATTTATTGTAATCCTAGATTTTTCTTTATGGGTAATTTTATTTGACCCCCATGAGTTTTCTGATTAAAATATCACCAGCTTGTGTCAAATGGTTCTGATGACTGATATAAACTATTTATATACTGTTAAACCTTATGAAAAATTATTTCTCTCTTCAAAGCCAAAACCATCACTGAAATATTTTTTTTTTGTTTCTGCATGGTGACATTGAGTTTTCCAGCTGCGTCTACTGACAGATTATTTCCAGGTCTGAGACGATGGAAAACTTCCAGCATTCTATGAAAACAAAGCACAAATATTAAACATCTCTTAAAGATTTACAGTTTTTTTCCGTCCAGCCAGTGGAAATTTTCCTTCAATGTAAACAATGACTTGGTCTTCAGCTATTAACGTTTAACTACATATCTGCATTTGCTATGCTTTTTTACCATATAACTGACAAACTTCAGTGATAACATTTGAATTACACGGACATAGCACCAAATAATGATTCCAAGACAATGCCCTTGGATTAATCTTAAAACGTTTATTTCTCTTGTTCTACTTGCATTTGAAATGTCAAAAAAGCCATCAATAAAACATCCAAAAATTTTCATTTAAAACTATTCAAATGAACAGCCCAGAGCAAACAAACATGCAATAAATCAAATGAATTACCAAGTGTATCATGTGAACTAGTTACTGATTCAAACAGTTAAATAATACATCAACACAGTTAAATATAAACACTTTTTTAGTACACATAAGTAAGTCATACAATTATATGACAAGAGATGTTCAGAATAAAAATGTTTATGTTTAATAATTGATGATCACGATGACTGTGATCAGTTTACAGTAATTCAACACAGTGACACATTTACGTCACTTAGACCTTGGATTCATATTCTTTATCAGTCAGTCATTAAAGATAGAGAGCATTGAGCAGGATTTACAGTACTGCACAGAGATGCAGGGAAAATATTGACACACAGTGTGCAACTGCTAAAACACTGGGAAAAAGACTGAAGGCCAAACACGGTTAGAAAATCTGACAACAAGAAATTCACGGATCAGATTAGTCCCCAGTTGCTTTAAATCTACTTGGCGTTAACAGCTCCTGTACAACAAATGTAGCCAAAACTATCAGGCTGCCTTTTATAGTGTAAAAACAAACGAAACAAACAGCATGTAAATATTTTGGTGGACATATGAATTCAACAACATGTCGAAACACTTTTAAATGGACCAGAAATGGAAAATCTTCTGTCAGAGAGGGTCTGACTAAAAACTAATAGGACAAAGATATCTGGATGATTCGCTTGAGTGAAAACAAATCTCTCAGGTAATTTTCATCAGTCTCAAAATGATTAAGATTTTGGTAGGTAAAGTACAATCACAGCCAGTTAAATTCCCCATTCAGGTTTTACTAAAGGGACAAGGAAGCTGTCAAACAGGATCTGAAAATATCCCTCACAGATTAGTATAATGCTACTTTAAACTTAGCATTTCAGTTTCTCAGAGAAAGATGAACGTTAAAACAGTACGGTCTTTAAATTAAAATAAAAATCTAAAGGCGTTTTATCAACCTCTAATGAGACCAAATATTATCATAGTATAAAATGGACAAATAATAGTCATTTAAGTGAAAGACAATAATAAAAAAAAAACATCCGGGTAGATGAGTGAGGCAAACTCTTTTCCGTCCGTACTGAGCAGGTGATGAGGTGAAGCAGTTTGACACAACCAGTCCAGTTTATGGATCTTGGGATAGTGTGAAGCATATGTAAAATTAGTGTGCTTATTCTCCCGGTTACATCCTGCACCTCTTGAATCCCATCACCATACTGCAGCCATAGAAAAGTGTCACCACGGACGCAAATACCTGAGACAGAGAGGAAACAAGTTAAGCCACATGACATCTGCAGAGTGGAAAACACAACTAACTTAGGGTGGATTTTGTCTTCTGTCTGTGTGTAGCTTTAGCTTCTCAAAAGCCAGATGCAGAGATAACTTGAACCTGTTCCTTGTTTTTAAACAGTGAAAAAATGTCTCTGGCAGAAAAAGGTTTTGCAACACCCACATTTCATCGGTTTAGAAACCAGGGACTACGTACGTCTGAAAGCTGCAGTGGGATCGAAGAGTATGAGTAAAAGTTTACATTTTTTAGCTTTTCTTTCTGTTTATGTGGACATAACACAAGTAAAACAAGCTGCCAACACTACGGTGGAGCATTTTCACTGAAAGCTCCAACGCAGATGAAACCCTTTGAATCAGATTTTAAAAGGTCATAGATCTAGGCCTACATGCTGGGTGGGGCTGATAGCGCTTGGACTTGTGTATTACTTCACCACCTGATTTTCTTTAATGGTTGCACAACAGATTGCTATTTCTTCAACATCCAGATGTTTGTAATGTTCTAATTTTCTACGATATGAGAGGAACAGGCTTGTTAAAGCGTTGTTTACTAGGCTTTTCAGGACCCACCTACCTCATGCAGCTTCCTAATGTATTTTCAGTGACTCTCCCACTTCAGCAGTCCTAGATCGGCTTAGGCTCAAGTTGTCTGAATTCTGTTCTTTGGGATACCAGACTAAATCTAAAGAGAGATGCTCGACTCACCGTGGCCGCCACATTAATATTGTATTGCCTGTAGGTCAGGACTGTGAATATATTCCCCCGGGGTTGGGTTATGCACAGGACAGAGTCAGTGCTGTTTGGTAGTGGACTGATGTGAGCTCCTCCGTTGGCTGCTGTAGTTGCTGCCTCCAGCACAAAGGCGGCAAAGTAGAACAGCAGAGCTATGAAATGGTAAACCGCATCCTGAGAAAATAAGGGAGGATATGTAATAAATAAATTAAACAAGAAGTTGATTCCACGTTCTCAGAGACATGCACTGTAATTCTGAAAATGCTGAAAAGCATTACCATACAGCTACTGATGTCAGTGTTAAAAGCTGTGTTATGTTTGGGAATACAGAGCAACTGGCATCAGATAAACTGAAGAAAATTTCCCTTTTTAGGTGTTTCTCCAGCACTACTGACACAGCAACTAGTACACTGAAATGTCCAGCTTTATATGAAACAGAGGAAAAGTGAAGGCATTACAAGAAAAGAGAAGTGGAACAAAGACACGGAGGCATAAATGAAAGACAAAGGAGAGAAAGCAGCAAGAGGGGTGTGTCAGAGAATGAGGAGGGTTAATGAGATTTTGTGTTGCCGACTCTGTGACCTTGGCGGGACTACAGGCGGGCCTTTGTTGTGTTCTAGCGTGAGCTCATCATCCATGTCACTCTTTGTTCGGGGGAAAACAAACAACCCCACACGCCTGGCTACTCCTGGGAGTAGGGGGCCTGGAGCCTGAGGAAAGGCTAGTTCTGTCTAAGAGTCCAGACAGGACAACAGCGTGGGTCCACTGCAAGGGCCTACCCCAGGAGCCGAAAAACTATTTATGACTTTTTGAACATTCTAAAGTAAAATAACTATTTATGTTTTCAGCCTGAACATTGTATGTGATCACATATATGTATTATATATGCCACAGGTCCTATTTGGAAATATTAGGGAACATTTCCAAAGCAGACAAACAGGCCTGAGGCTCATCACCGGATTGGGATCTTTATTAGAATGTCAGATTAAGAAGCAAAGCTGCATGAGGTCAGAAGCATCTGAAATCATGTCTTCAAACTCTGCAAGTTTTATTTGAATTGTCACAATGATTTAAGATGTTTGTTGTCTTTGTGTAGGTCATATAAGATGCAATATAATGCCAATAAATGTTGCGAAAGAGCCAGTAAATGCTGTGAGATCATTTCAGCATCCTCTTTATGATCATATATTCATTTCTATTTCATCCATTTTTTTCATTTTCCCTACATATAAAATGTAACAATACAATTTATCTGTTGAAATCATCTCTGATCAGAGGAAAACTGAAGAGTTTTAGGTTTATCCCTGAACTCTGCAAAGTGTGGCAATAGATGGACAGACCATAGAAAAAAGGAGATGGACACTTAATGGTGACCGTGGAGAGCTCACCAAAAAGTTCCAATCGGTGGCGATGCGGTCAGCCAAACCGGTGATGAGGAGAATGAGGTAGACGGAGGAGAGGACGAAGGTGGTAACAGACACAAACATCACCCAGCCCTGCAGCAGGGGCACAGGCACATTGGAGGAGGCCACCAGGATCCATACCAAGGCACCGAAAAACTGGGGAAACAAACAAACACAGCTGACCAGTCAGCATCTAATAGGCTGCTATTAGCAGGGAGTGGTCAATCTGATAGTCTGCTGACTTTGTCCAACTATGGCTTTTAATCAAGGACACCAAAGTGTAGAAATATTGATTATCTGTGTAAAAAAAATCATGCGGCTGGAGCTAAAATATTAAACAGGTTTGAATGATAACAATGTATATAGACCAACCCTAACCCTTAAAACCTGAGTCCATTCAGTGACTCAGCAGGTGTCTATATTCTTATATTTCATTTTAAGATATCTGCGGATTTCTAGGCTGATAAAAGGACAAAGGTTTTCCTTTATTGCTAATCTGATGTATCTTGATTTAGGACATTATGCAAAATGCATACATTGTGAAGCATGCATTGGTGTTTATGGAGCCCAGGCGATTCTTAAGGTCAACAAATGCAACCCGCTCCATCATTTTAACGGCAGGTGACTAGTAGTAAAGTGTTGCCTGGAGCTGTTTTGTGTTTTGTTTATTTCAGTCTTTTGTCAGCCTGTCCAGCAAACAATAGACTCCTTGTGTTTCAAATGCTGACATATAAGAGTACTCAGCCATCACACATCGCCATCTAACCTCAGCAGCACTTTAGAAAGCGTGCATCTTTAAGAAATTGGTATGCGTAAAAAATGTGGGTAGGATTTAGACGTAGCAATACTCAGTGACGACAAAAAAACATTTGCGGGTAGAATAAACAGTGAATACTCCACTAAACCACAGTGTGGCATAGGACCAGGTACACAGTAACTACACCACTGAGAAGGGAAAAAAGGTCAATGACTTAAAGCACAACAGAGACTGAATCATGTCACTCCTGCTGTCACTTACAAAAAACAAATAGATCAATTACATTACATATGTAACACCACATATTTAGAGCACTTTGACGTGTTGCTGTTAATATCATAATAACAAAGTACCATAAATATTCTAATTTATGTTGAAAACAACAACCTGTTGTGTGTCTCAGGTGTGTAGCAACTTTAAAGCAACCGCGACCAAAGGGATTACACGTTCAACTGGGTTTTCGGATAAAATAGGAAAAAAACAATCAGGACTTTGGAGAGTGCGTTTGGAAGTTGCGCAGAGGTCACCTTTCGGAGCTGTGTCACGGAGAAGACGGACACGCACGCGGCGTGCACGCGCGGCTATTAATCTTTATTTCTGTCAGTGACATTCTGTCTGCATCGTTCCGAAACACGTAGGGGCCTCCTGCCAACCTCACCCAAGGCCAATAATTCTATTTCTTTGGCTGTCAAGCACAATCCACGCAGTAAGTGCCTCAGATTACACCCAAAATCTGACTCCAAAAGTTAACATGGACGCATGTATGAGGTCAGACATGCAAGAACATTATGGAGAACAGTTTTTTTCTTCCTTTTTGTCAATGTTACACTTACTATTTCTAGGCAGATAAGCGCACCAGAGTAAGTCCTCAGCACGTCCAGTCCCAGAGGCAGAGAAATAGCCGGCGCTGGGAACGAGGTGGCGGCGGGATTAGCGGCTGGTTCCGACATCTCTCTCTCTTGTCTCCGTCTCCTCCTTCCCCCTCTGCTTATCACCCTCTTGGCTCCCGCTGAGGAAAGAGGCCGGTCAACAAAGGACGGAGAAATTCCTCCGGAGTCATGTGTCCCCCCCAAACAGGTCGGACAGGTGCAGCGGCCACTCCCTGCAAACCCAAGCTGCCTTCAAAGACGTCAAGGAAGTTCCAGCATCCACTTGTCCACTCTGCAGCTCCACTTCATGGGCATGGCCAGCCCCCAAGAATGGATTAGTGATTCATTCTGAAGTCGTTTTGATGTGACAGATCCAAATAATTTAGTTAAAAGCCCACATATTTTCATCATAATCAGTTTCCATTAGAGTTCTTGCCTATTAAACTGATTCGTGCAACACTGATATGAATTAAGACATTGCAAACATCAGTGGTCTATTCTGATTTAGTCTCAAAGTAGTGCAAAGTTAATGATTGCTAACGGTTGACCTGAAATATATAGGGTATAAATTTAATTTGATGGGATGAACAGCCGTTATCAGGTACACCACAAATGTAGGGCAATGTGCGGTGAGGTGATAGCACCGCTGATTTTGCCCACTCATTTAGGTTGTTTCACTCCCTCAATTCTCATTTCTGTCCTTCTCTGCCTCCACCTGCTTTTCAAAAATCCTTCTGTTTTTTAGAAGTTAGATTAAATGGCCTCACAGTCAGCCTTAAATGTGCGAGAGCACTGCGAGTCAAAGACATGTCAAAGGTAAATACAACTTTGTGGTTGAAGTCGTATGAAGTGCACAGAACAGATTTTTTAACAGAATCCAGCTTTGATGCACGCAAGCTAAACATTTGATTTAAAAAAGTTCTCACCCCCAGTGTTCGATGGGATTATTATCTTTAAATCAAGAGTTCAACTGCAGTGCTGTTACTAAGTTGAGAAGTGGAAAACATTATTGTGAGCCACAATTAATGATTAGCTTGGATCTGAGTTGGATGAGGCAATGTTGATTTAACCTCTGACACAGCACTGCCAGTGCAGCGAGCAGTTGGAATTAATATGACCTGCAGGCTATCATGTTGTATAGGGGGATTATTTATCTGAGGAGGTGTGCCAAAAATATTTTTAATGCCTGATATTTTAGAAGCATCAACATTAAAGGTTTTGGGAAGCACATGCGTGAACCTGCTGACAGGGCATGAGAAATGGCCTTTGAAGGGTCACAGTCATGGAATAACAGGAAAGCTCTTTTACTTGCTTTTCTTTTTTTTATTATTCAGAGAGTATCACACAGCGACAGTATTTTCAGTATTCTTTTTTCAAATTAAAAACAAGTTGGATAGGATGAGTAAGGACCAGATTTGTTTACCAATAACCTAACCTTGCCTTACTGGGAGATATTTAAAAAGAGAGATATGTAATGCATCAGTTTTGTTTTCTATTATTCAGATTATTATGATGCTTGGGCAAGTATCCCTCTTCCTCCTTTGCCTCATCCTCTCCTGCTCTTTGGGAACTCACAGATGAAAAACATAGAGGTTTCACATTCTACATGGCTCCATGTCCCAGTATTGAGCAGCTCCACACAGCTGGAGTTGGTGGCAGCCTTTTCTTCTTGACTCCAAGCTGCAAAACCCTGCAGTGGGCTTGAGTCTGCATAGATGTAACTGTTTGTTCCATCCTGATGATGAGAAAAGAGCACTGAAATGCCTAACTCATCAGTCACAATGCTAAAATGTCTATTTTTAGGTCATAGGCACTTACGATGTCCTTGTTTTGAACCTGCACTCCCACATAAGTCCTAGTAAGTCCTGCCTGACTGATGTAGTCAGCCATAAGACGGTTGGAGTTGCTGGTTTTAGGCATAGCCAGGGTGCCTCCTCTTAGCTTGCAGTTCATTGAAGCATCACTAAACCTCTTGGGTTCCTTCACAAGAAGGTAGTACCTCTCCTCGGTCTCCTTTAATCCCAAGACAACTGCACACAATACATTTCCATTTTACAGCAGTTTGTAAGCATGTGGGACTTAAATGCTGTTGCTGCTAGATATGTTAGTGCAAAATGGTGTCCCACTTTTGTCTGATAGTGGATTCTAGCTGCTCAACAGACCAGATTTTGCATCCTTTTTTCAATTAACTGAAGGTCTGGACTGCAGGAAGGTTGTCACCCAAACTCTTCCTCTATGTAGTCGCTCTGTTGACATAGCAGTGTGTGTTTTAGCATAGACTTTAGCATATTTGCCAAACCTTAATTTGGTTGGAAACATATTTCAGAAAATGATTTCTTGTTCCTGAGCCCTGGACAGGATCATGTCTGTATTTAATGCATTGCTCCCTGAGGAATTACAGATTGCTTAACCTTTCCATCTTTACTTCTGAGGCAATCTGACTTTTTACTCCAAGTCATGCTACCAAACATGTTGCCAATTATCCAACTTAGTTTGCATTATATTCCTCAAGCTATTTGTTCGTAAGTGCCTTTCCTTTTAAGATTATACAATCATCTTCTGCCTTCATTCAATAGTGGGATGCATTACTGGCATCACATTAAGAATGAGCTAAGACTTTTCTGGAAATGGACAAATTACATTTTAATACCTTTGCATGTTCAGGTGTTGATAAGAGTTTGGTTCACAATATTTGCATATCTCAGCATTCTGCTCATATTCAAATTTCAGATACTGTCCCAAATATTATTGGAATTGGTGTACATGACAGTATTGGGATCTTCAAAAAGTTTGTGCTTTCATTTTTAGGATGAAATTTAGTTAAGAAGGAAGTAGAGTAAAAAAATTAAAAATCAAATCAATCTAAAAATGTGTTCAGTATGGGCATTCAATAATGAAAATTATTTCCCATTTTATTGATATAACTTGGTGATTGTTGCATGTTTCTCACAGTCTTGAGGACAACTGGTTCCTCAGACCACTTTCATTGTAGACTTAATATCACAAATCAGGACTCACCGTTCTTCACAAACTTGACAGCATTCTCAAGTTTGCCTATATTGGCATCCAGCTGGTCAACCACCCTCCTGTACCTGCCACAGTCACATGTTGTGCCTGATGGATAAAACAAGTATAAGCATAGCTTGTTTGAAACCATTTGTAGTTTGATACATTCATAAAAGCACCATGATCAACTTCTCAAACTAAAAAAAATGTGCTGTTCAAATTCATATTAAAGTAGGATGTACTGATGACTGAAAGCAAACAGTGGAATGTATTCACCTGTTTTCCCTTTTGAACCAGGAGGTCCATCCATACCTTTATTACCGCTATCTCCTACAGAAGAATTAAATCACACATATAGTTGTAGAGTTAGAGGTGAACCGAGTCAAGTGAATGTCTTTGTCAAGTTGTCATGTGGTTTCAATCTTTCACCAGCAGATGGCTGTATCATACATTAAAAAACAGAAATACTTGTCTCCAGGTTTACAACTGAGTCATAAGATTCAAGTTTCACCTTTGGTGACATATTCATGTTTTTAATAGATCCTTTTGAGGTAAATGTTTAGTGGATCGTATATGTTTGATTTTATATGGCAGGTAATTTAGCAGTATACATATGTAGTACTGAAGCTACTGTACAACACATTCACTTATCATTTAGCTTCACAGTGGAAAATTAACTGCCAGTTACACATTTTGGGGAAGTGTCCTGCTATACAAACATCACAATCACCTAGTTTTGTTTAACTAACAGTCAATACAGTGACATGCTGTTACTTTCAGATTTTTAGCTGAAAACTCTGTGATGTTCACTGATGTAAACAAACGGATAAAAAATGACAGCCTGAGCCTCGTGAATAAATTTGATAAATTAGTGAATCAATACTCTGTAAGTGTCCCCTCTGAAACATTTCACCATATTGAGTCTTACTATTTGTAGTTGGTTAGAGACAATAGATAAAATATTTAACAACTTCAAATGATTGTTTTTTAGTCCAAACTCAAATTCAAGATCGAAATAATTTTGGAATGAGAAGATTGTACAAGTAAAGGTAGGGGAGCCGGGCTGCTTATAGACGTACAGTTAAAGACACTCTCAGCACTCTCTCCTTATGTTTATTTATGACTTACTTTGGCAATGATTATTAAAAATGAACACGAGAGAAACATTCACCTTATAAGGAAACTATTTTAAACTTTGAGCCACAAAAATGAGCTGATTTGATTCAATTTCTTACTTGGTATTTGTCAGGGTGATCTAAGTGAGCCAATTTGTATGGAAATACAAATTACCCCTTTTTCCCCTTAATTCTTTAATGTTTTATGCATAGAAAATCAGGTTAAATGTATTCAATGGATGGTCACACAGAAAATAGAATCTCTTCGCGAAAAGGGTTCCAAGGCAAGGATTCACGTTATCATTTGATTATCGTAACATGTAATGAACAGCCTTCTTTTGAATAAGCAATCTTACTTAGATCAGTAAGTTTTTCCCATAGTATGAAAGAGAGACAGAAGAAATAAAGAAATAATTATGAAGAACGATTATGTTAAACGGCACAATAAAACAGAAACTTTTGATTAAAATGAGATTTGAATTAATTCTCGTCCTACCTATGTCTCCAAAAGGCCCCATTTTTCCTATCTGACCCACTTCTCCTTTAAGCCCTGGTTCCCCTGGGACTCCTGGAGAGAAGGGAAAATGAGTGCATGGAAAGATATAGAGATTATTATAGACATCTTTAAAATGTGATAAAAAAATTGGACATTTTGGTATTTGACTACAGATATCATCCTAAACCGTAAACATTGGGTAAGTATTTGTCATTCAGAGGCTGGCTAAAAAACATATATGTACTGTTAATATTTTTGAGTGAGTCAGTTGTCGCCATCACCACTGAAGTCTAAAGTGGATTTGTGTAGAAATAACATAGCTGATATGAAGAGAGCGAATAAACAATAATCAATTCCATAATACTTTTGTGGAATAACATATTTCTATAATTGCTGGCATCTCACAGTGTAATCACAGTTCTTGCTGGATTCGAAACATAGTAATCTGACTACTGTCATATGTATTTCTTATAGTTTTGCATTAACTTATCTTAGATCCTGACAAGACAGATTTCAGATGGTGCAGTGAAATTTTATGGGGTAGAAAGTCAGACTAAGAGGTGTACACATACGTTCATATTTTGTGTGTATGGGAAAACTACAGAGCAGACAGAGGCTTTCTGCCAGCCCCTGAACTAGTGTTTCCTCAGGAAACTATTCAGCTGAAAATTGATGGAATTTAAAATACTAAGTGACGCATAGGAGAAGCCTATTTCTATCAAAGTCCTGCAGCTATCCTTATTAGGGCATCACACTGATTTGTATGATCTGAGGAAAGTTTAACCCCAACCCCAATACTTGTTAAAATGAGTTCAGGCCTAATGCAAACTTTAACATTAGCCAAAGCTCAGTTCACAGCCAAAAATGTCCTTAAATAAGGACGCTCTGGTCCTAATAAGATTAGTGTTTATACTGGAAAGGTTCCCAATGAGGTAACACACAAAGAAATGCACATATTCACACATAGTTGGCTTTTCACTCCTATTTGTCTTTTTCCACTTTTTGTACTTGGTGATTTGGGAGAGGTGTTGGCAGAACATGTGCGGCCTCACAGATTGTTACACATTTTGGGTTTAAGATTGTTTGAGTTCTGCAAAGCTTCCCGAAGCAGTCTCACAAAGCAAACATTTAAACAATAATGACCTGAAAGTTGTTAAGAAGTGTTTGTCTTCTTAACAAATGAAGAATATCAATCTATTGGACCTTTGTTATTACTCCTGTCTGTAACAGCTGACTAATGTTGTTTTGGCCGTGCTTGTGCTTGCCAGTTAAACCGTCTACCTAGTGTCTAGATAACAGTCCTTCCTATCACTGCCGTCACCCTTTATAACGGCCAACTCCTCCAACTGGTTTAACGACTGGATTGTCCAGCTGCTGGGGGATAATGGGGGTGAAGGACACATTTTCAAAGGATTTATGCAGTCTGAGACACATTCTAACTTCCCAAACTGTCATGACAAACAATCCTTGACAGAACTGATCATTCACCAAATATAGCTTGCATTCAAAGGGTATATTTCATCTGTATTTCCTTGATTTGAGCTGAAAGTGAAGGGAAAGAGAGCTGGGTCACATACACTGAAGGCTTGTGCCACATTTGTTATTTGTTTTACATTTGCAAGCGGCCCCCACAGGTATCTTTAATACTCAGATTATACACAACCCCCTTGAGCAGTTCTTATTGAAACACAGTTCAGTTTGTTTATGGTAAGAAATTTGGGGGGGAAAAAAGCTTGTTGTAGTCCACCATAGCATTAACAGTCATGCATTCCCTTTTAACATCCCAAAAATCAAGCAACTGTTTCCTGTAACACTGCCCAAATTAAGACTGGGAATACATGCGTCATCTGCTGAACTGCCGACAGTTACAAAATCATTGTAGAAACCTGCATTCATGCCTGTCAGGAAGAATACAGACAGAAAAACCATAATGACTGCCTTTGCTATACAGTTGAATAATGTCTGCAAAGTTGAAAAGTTGAGAAAGTTTTACATATACTCTACACACCTTCTCATTTTTGGAAATGACAGCAGTCCTGGTGTTTGTTTCCCACAGGCTTGATGAGAGAAATGCGTGACTGCATGATATTGTGCGCGTTTGAGAAAACTTGTGAAGTCACTAAATTAAACCTTTGTGCAGCAAAAGAGGGCAGACAGGAAGCAACACTTCTTCACAGTGTTTATGGTTAGAATGTGTCTCCATTTTCAAATGTGTAGAGTGTGTCTGCGTGTGTACATGCATTCCTTGTGTGCACACAGCACACTGGAAGTATGTCGGTGTGTGAATGCATTTGTGTTGGAACAGACACATTATATGGCTAGTTGATTCGCAAGCTATTCTAACAGCCCATTTGGAAAACATATGGCAAAGCGGGATGCCCCAGCTCTATTCAGCAGCAGTTACCAAGTCTGTTTCCGTATGTCTGTCTCCCTGCCTGTCTGTCCTTCATAAAACAGTACACTGCACGCCAAGGGAAAGCAAGCTGTTTAGAAAAAGCAAACACACAGGCTGCCATCAGGGCAAAGTTACATTGGCTGCCTCTGCTGCACAGAATGTAAGAACTGATTGTTTCTCCGTGTAACATCAGCAATAAAACTACATTTTTTTAGATGAGACCTTTAAATGAATGGTGGAAACATGACAATGAAGATTTTCTGAGGTACATACACAGTGTGTCTTAACTTTACAAACATTGATAAAAAAAAAAGTACCATAAGATGCCGTGTAAAAGGTACTAAAAAAATAAATAATCTTGGTTCTTACCAGGTCTTACAGTGTAGTACATAAAACTTTGTGCGCGTGTTTTTGTATGTATCCCTTAAACCAGTATATCCCAATCCTGGTCTTTAACTCACATGGCCCTGCATATTTTTGTGAACATGGCAGAAAAACTGACAGACATAACACCGAAGCTCTTACAGCTAACACACATTCACAGGGACATGTGATATTAACATTAATCACCTGTCCTGCTGGACAATTTCATAATTACTCACTTTATATGATAACATTGTCAGTTGTTTTTTGATAAAATCCTTAATTCCATTTCATGTTCGGTCACCTCTGAATGGTCACTTTGTGTTGACAAAGGACTTAATTGCTAAGTTTGTGGAGAACCTGGAAGTGTCTGCAGCTACTTTCTACTCTTACCATTCAGTCACCATTCAATGACTGAACTGGTGAACAGGAAACCTAGTTTTGCTTTTCAGTGTACACTGAGTACTAACTGGATCAATACTTGACCTGGAAGTCCTGGTGGACCAGTCTTTCCCAGTTTACCCTGATCCCCCTCCTCTCCAGTCTCCCCCTGGTCTCCTGGATGTGATAGGGAAGATAGTGGAGAAGAATGTTCATGTTCAATTAATCTGGCAAAGACATTTAGCCAGCAAAAATAAAAATGAGCATATTTCAATAAGGGAGAAGCTACTTTCCCATCAATCTACCCATCCTTTTCTTAATCTACCTATTCCAATTTAGGGTTGCAGTGGTCATTAGGTGAGAGGTGGAGGACACTCTGGACAGGTTACGAGACCATTACAGGACCTCGTAGAGACAACCATCCATATTCACACTCACTCTCAGGGTCAATTTCCAATGCTCGTTTGGTGCTGGTTCTTCCAGCTCAGTAATATATAAAATGTTGGCAAATCTTTCTAAAAGTGGCGGAGTCAGAGTAACAGTAAAAGCAGTAAAATTGTGTTTGTTGAAAAAGGTTTAAAGTAAATAATAAGACAATTTGGGGTTGAGTGAAACATAGAAAAATGCACGTCTGACACCCACTCAAATATGCACTCAGACACTGGGTCTGTGGTCAGGGGTATCTGGATGAGCCTTGTACAAATAATCAGTTCACTCTAGTGGCAGCTGTCTAAATACTCGCTGACACAATGGGACTTTTTGGCCAGTAAATAAAACTTCTTGCTAGACCTCTTTTCCTACTCAAGTGCATTTAAAAAACAAAAAGCAAAGATGATTTTCAAACTTTAAAATATGATCAATGGCATAATTTTAAGAATTACTTCTGGTGTTACTTCTGGTGTTTTTATGGGTTCAAGTTCCTTGAGAAACATCTCACTGGCTTTTCTCTGAGCCTGAAATATGTTTTTTCCCTGGTGTTAAAGTAGCTGAAAAAAATTAAGCAAATCTCGACTCTGTATTTTATTAGCTTTGTCTGTCTGAGTCAGCAGGGGAGGGAGCTACTGGATGTTGTTAAATGAAAAACACATACAGAGAGGCATTCCCTCCAAGAGTCTATGGGTAAGCAGACAGCTAGCTAGTAAACTGCAGGATATTTAATGCTTGGTAGATTTATCATCAGCTAAGTAGACCCTAAAAAGTGCTCAGGGTATCTCCTTAGAAAGTTTTACACTTAACAATGTAGTTAACGCTCCTGTCCATCTATTAGATCACATATGTTTCTTAAATCCCCTGCAGTGTGACCAAATAATACTCAACTCTGCAAGGATCCAATAATCCAAAGTGTGGCTGCACGCATGAATATACAGCATATAAATCCACTGTATCAAATTAACATTAGATTTGTGCTTAAGAGCACACAGAAATCTAAAAGGTTTTGCTCTACAGTAGACACACACACAACTGAAGAAGCATTCTTTACCTTTTGCTCCCGGCAGGAGGGCGTTGGTGCAGATCTCTGGTGATGCAGAAATGCAGCCGAACATAGCAAGAAGCACACACAGTCTCAGTATTGGAGACATCTTCAAAGTACTGCAAATCAACAAAAAGGATCCAAAGGACCATTAATAGGAAAGCATGCCACGTTAATGAGACAACTGCAGAGTCGGGAAAAAGTCTTTGCTTTTGTTTATAGAGCACACAGATGCACTAAAACGGATGCACATACACAGTCTTATCAGTGTCTTGTCAAAATCTCAAACAACACATAGCAGACCACTGCATTCCTCTGCTTGCTTTAGCCCTCAGAGTTCTAACTAGTAAACTCTTTTCATAACTGAACCGTTATGTGAACAGACACAACTGAAGTTTTATTTAAATTTAAGTTCTGTACTTACAGCCTTACTTGTGCAAATTAATGGTCATTATCTCCAGGCTCCGTGGAGAGTCAAATCCCTTTAGTTATTTAGTGAACTTCCAATATCCTCTGCCAGGTGTAAATTAGTTACTTCACACAACCTTTTACATTACAAGCTACGCCCTAAAATATCAGGAGACGTTAAGAAACAAAGTGCTGTGACGTTTAGCTGTTATATTCTGGCCATTAGTTGCATGAAATTGCATTCACATGAATTTGAAGCAGACAGATCTCATAGAATAACATAAATGTGTTTTTTTTAAAATAAGACACATAGACATATTTGAACCAACACAAGACTTTTACATCCACATCCCACTAGGATGGATTAATCTGCATTAACCCTGAATTAACCCACAGAGGCCACAACCCACAACCTAAAGAACCACCTACTAAGGTCAGGGGACCTGACACCAACCTTCAATGGCCCCATTAACCTGCTCTTCAGTTTAGACATTTTCCGCACAACAAGACAGGATTTTAGTCAACTGCTTTGTTGCATTGTATTTCAGTACGTCCATATTGGGGAGGCTGTGGCTCTCGGGTGGGGACAGGTGCCTGCCAATGGGTAGGTTGGTGGTTTGATCCCAGGCTAGAAGCAACGCAGCCTCAACTGGGGCGCAATGTTCTGTTTCCTGTTTGTGCCGGTCCAAAGCCCAGAAAAATGTGAGGGTCGTGTAAAAACCCCTGCCAAATCCTACCATGCAAGTCAAGGCTGACGAGCTGTGATAATCTCAGCCGGGAAAGGGCCCAAAGGCATCAACATTTCAACACCTCCATGTTCAACATAAAATCATTACATTGATATATCATTTTTCAAGTGAGAGAAGAAAATGACATGCATTGAGATTATTTCTCCTGTCCTGGTTTCCAGTCTTTTGTCAAACAGAGCTGACCAAGAGATTAATTGGCAATTCCCAATAGACTACAAAAAAGAAGCATATGGACAACAGCAGGGGTTTAATTGGGATGATTCATTATTTTATTAGCGTTGTTCACAGCTGCACAAAACTTGTGTTCCTGGACAGAAAATGTGGACATCAGAAAATCAGATGTGGTACACCTGGTTTGTGTCTTCGCATTTCCTCATGTTACATGCCTGTGACAATAACGCATCACTTTCAGACAGACTTCACACGTGTCTCGAGGAATCATTTTAATGTGAGTACAGAACGCAGTAGATTCGTGTTGTGTCCTCTTGAGAGTTGAGTAAAAAATGGGCGTTTTTAAAACGATACATACATTTGTTCATGAAGCAAATCCTTTATTATTTCCATATACTTGCAGGAATAAAAGTCTATATCACACAAAATGTGTTCAGATTCTCACCGACTGGGAATCACAGGGTTTGAAGGCCAAACGCAGGGAGTGGGGTGGCGGAATGGAAAAAGGCAAAAAGAGATAATGAGGCTGAACAATAGTCAGAAAAGAAGAAAAAAGAAACAGGGCAACGGATGGGGACGAATAACAAATAAGAAGAATGTGGTCAGAGCCACATGTCTTGGCATGCTCAGGGCCCTTCTTATTCAAGAGTTGTTATTTCTGGGATGTCGTAAGTGCTGCATCAAAAAGAAAAGTCATTGAGAGTGTCAGTGTGCTTTGCTCTTTGAAGTACAGGAAGGGGTTGATCATATCAAGAATCTTAAAGAAAAGAAGATTAATCTTAATCAGATTCTTGTTCTCTGGGGACCTGAATCTGCATGACATTATGCTGAAAAGCTGCCATTCACAGGATTTACAAGCACATTTTTTGTTGTTGTGGGTGGCCTTTCACAAAGTTCATTCATACTACCAGCCAAGTTCAAATTTGTCTCACCTGCTAAAAACGCTGCACTGGCGCTGTATTAATCATGTCATTAATCAGTTATTTATTTTGATGTTTGTCTCTTTTGGAGTGTTTTTGAAATGCACGTAAAGCCATACACACATGTGCTTGAGCGTTTTTCTGGCCTTGCTGTCAGCGGCAGAGTCTGACAACAGTTTCTTTTGGCTTCTGCCACTGTTTGCTCCAAGCTTCAAACTCGTCACGTTGCTTCTGCTAAGGAATTTGTTGATGTTGAAAACTGTGTAGTTTGGGGCCTTCAATGGCGCTGAAGTTTTTGTTGTTGACAATAGCTAGCAACCATCTTAATGGCAGTTTGATAGAGATTAACTCAGACAGAAGAATATTACATGCCAGAATGGAGATAATAGTACAAAATATCATATCTGCTCACACCAATAATCACAAACATCACCACTTTCATGGGGTTATTTCTTCTCTGACTCCTAGAAAAAAGAGGAAGAATGGAAAAGTTGTCATTCGCATGATATTTGCGAATTGTTTTGATATTCACTGCAAATGATAGATTTACCGTCTCTATTGGTTATCCCTCCCTCCTAATGACAGTTGTGACAGGCTTCGGAGAGTAGATTTAATGTGTACTGCTTTGCTTATTGCACAGCAACAATGCCGTTCGCACCCACTATGAGTTCCAGAGCATTTTTCCATCTTCTGTTTCCACTCTGGTCTCCATCAACACTGATGGGGAATATCAAGCTCTTTAGGTGCTAAATGCTCCAGTATGTTCACCAGGTTGCTTACTTTGTCTGTCTACTCTTTAGTTGCTTTTTGTGGACACCTCGTCTACCACAGGAGTACCTTTTTACTGTTTGCCCTGCAAAAAAATCTGCACCCTGGAAAACCAAAACAATGAGCTTCAAATCACTTAAATGCCCCATAAAGAGAGATCTGATTGGTTATTAAATCATCCTTTCAATTTGCGTTGACTCTCTTTGTTCAGCGAAGGTCTGTGTATTACTTCATTATGTCTGTGTGGCATACACACATACGTTTGCACAGGAACCACCCTGTTATCCTGAGGGCTAATTGTTTACATGTGGTTTAAGATTGCTTCTCCTATAAAGAATGTGATTCACGCTCCTGGACTGGGGGTTGACTTCGTAGTGGTAACCAAACCACAGAACAACCTCGTTTTCACTGCTGCTCACAATCCCCGCTGGAAGCGCAATACGTCCTTTAAAACAGTACTTGGAGAATAATCTTCCCACACGTGTGTCAGCGACAAATCCGTCAACAGCAACTTCAGCACGTCAAACATTTACGTAACCCCTGCTGTAAACTGCTTTAATTCAAAGCAAAGTATGTGTTTCACAAGTGGCCTCTGCTGCTTGTACATACCACTACAGTATTTACTACTGACTCAAGCTCAGACAAAGCCCTTTCTCAGGAAAGAAGGCTTGCCACAAAAAGGATGACAGCCAACGTCATATTCTGTTTTATGATTCGACTTTCTTGATAAAATGACCCACTTGATTTTCAACTTCTCCTAAATCATCCTCACCAGGAGGCAATTAAAGTCACGTTTCAATCAATTTCAGCCAAAAACCCCAAAATCAGAAACTCAACAGTTTAAACCAGCTTTGAAGAGTGCCATCTGAGGGATGAAATACCATACAGGGTATGGTATGTTGTCTTAATGCTTTTAAAGATAACCCTCTATTCTGATTTACAGATGGGGGTGTTGTTTATCCACAGGATGGCTTTTATACACATTGCTGTTTATTACCATGATCGTGATAACTATAGAAGGCTTCAACAAATTTAGCTCCAACAAGAGGAAACATACACAAATGAAAGACATTATACATTAAGCATGCCTTAGTGAAAAATTTAGAACAAACCATTTGGGAAGTCAGAACATCATTTGCTTACAACAGACCCAATTTATGATGTACATGTATGGAACATTTGGAATAGTATCAATCATAGAATTTCATTGCTAAATAGATTATGGGAAAAATAAACAGATTAGACTGTAACAAACAAAAAATGATAAAATGATTGTCCTCTGATTTTGATTTTCGAGTGTACATTCCTGCTTAAACTCCTTAGTCACCTCTCGAATGGGTGTAGGGAATAAATGCAACATGGTAAGAATTAGAAATCAAAACCACAGAGTTAAATGCATTTTCATATGATTCCACTGCCAATGTTTCACAGATTAAAGTTAGCACAGTATTTGAAAGTAATATGCAGGAAACTTAACCACAGGGTGAGATGGTTTGCGATATGAAAAATATGATTGATGAGTCAAAATGAGAATTCCTGTTAGGCTTTGGGTCAAATGTTGAATAAAAATATTTATTTTTCAAAGGTTTCACATGACAAAAGTAACAAAACATATCACACAAAATGTGTACCTCCATCTGAACTCATAAATACACAGCTGGCTTTGATGGAAGGAAAGGAAGTGCAGGAAACAGCAGTTCACACTGATACATGTCACTGACGTGGGGAATTTTGTTTCTACAGGATAGGTTTTTTAAGAAGGCGGGTGAAGTTCAAATTTTAAAGGCATTCTATTACAGGCATGAAAGAGGATGTTATTCTATTACATCATTACATGAGTTGTTATTTTTCTATTTCTTAATTTTGCATAAAGACGAAACCCCTCTCAGATGTTTGCAACTCCAGGCCCTCGACCAGCCTGACCTCCCTGACTTACCAATCCTGGAAAGACCCTCTCAGAGTGGTCAGAACAACACAATTACTTCCCAACTTTCACTATAGTCTGAAAACTCCCACAGAATGAATTTCCCTTTTTACTCACTTCAGATGCTCCAAAAAAGCAAACAGAACCTTCCCCCAAAACACAGTTGGATAAATATGCAGTTGCTTATTACTTGTACCATTGAAGAGAACATTTGTCCCAATTGTGGTGAGATTACACTTTCAAATATGAACAGGTAAATTTAATTTTAAAAACA